TCCAAGTCGGGGTGCTGAGCCTGGTGTGTTAGAGAGGAAGCTGGAAGGAAGGGGAATGCCTTGAATGGGCATCTAGCCAATTAGAATAAGGCAATTTCAGGTTACTTCTTAAATTCCTCCTCTGTGTCCAGAACTGATGCTTTGCAAGAGCTCTTTGGACAAAAATGAAGGTTCCTGTCTCTTGAGTAGGAGAATAGCAGCCCAGGTGGCTGGGATTCTCTGCTGAGATGTGGTAGCATGCCGTGTTGATGTCCTCATCTCGTTAGAGCCAGAGCAGCTTGGTGCTGCAGCCCCCTCCTCCTCTTCTTCCTCCTCCTGTAAAACTACAGAAGGTTTGGTACCTGGCAGGCTGGTGGTCCTGCTATGTGTCCTCCCCCAAAATGTGCACATAAAACAGATGACTGGGTTGGTGTTCGGTGGCTCTGCATGGCTGTGCTGCCAGATTGGGGATCATGTATATTCCACAATGGCAGCTCAACATGCATTTCTTTGGAGGTGGCACCTACTCCAAACTTCTGAACTTTGACTTTTTCATCCCTAAATGCAGTGTTTTGGCCTTTTAGTTCCTGTGTGGCTCCAGCGCAGCCCCACCTATTGCTAAGAGAGGCGATGCCTTGTGTTAGAGCAGGATTAGTGTGAAATGGGAAAGGGTGGAAGAGCAGAAGCTCTGTGGAACACACAACTTTAGCTCTAAGCCAGACAGCAAGCTGGCATCTAAATCTTTATGGGTTTTTCTGCAGATCTTCGTTTATATGGGAGAAAAAAGGGGGAAATGAATACTAGGAGAATTGATGCCGGTAGGTACAACGGGTTCATTATCCCCCCATGCAGACGATGTTTTTTCTGCATCCCTGATTTTTAGCACCGAGAGCAATTCCAGGTTTTGGTCGCCAGGCTCATGTCTGGGGAGAATTTAGAGGCTGCTCAGGCTGCTCCTTTCCCATTCCTGCGGCTGTAATGCCCTCTCCTGGTAGCTGCACCGGGGATGCATTTCTCTTTACATTTCCCAATTTCCACTGCAAAGCTCGAAGTTTGTGGGCTGCCTGCTGAGGGCAGCTGGCACATAGCAGCAGGTGTAAAAGGGCTGTCCTAGAATCACAGAATCACAGAATTGATTCAGTTGGAAAAGATATTTAAGGCCATGTAGTCCAGTTCTCCTGCACTGAACAGGGACACCCACAGCTCCATCAGGTGCTCAGAGCCTCATCCAGCCTGACCTTGAGTATCCCCAGGGATGGGGAACCACCACCTCTCTGGGCAGCCTGTGCCAGTGCCTCGCTACCCTTACTGTAAAACACTTCTTACTTATATCCAATCCAAATCTCTCTCTTTTACCTTGAAATGATTTCCCCTTGTCCCAGAGTTCCCCCATCATCACTCTGTGTCTTCTGTTCTCAACTTTTCAACATTTTTATCAGTGACCTGGATGCCAGGCGTGAGTGCACCTCAAAAGTTTGCTGACTTTTGGCTAGCTCTGAAGTGGTGATTTTTGAAGGTCCCTTCCAATGGAACTGTCTACCATACTCATCACCTGAAGGCTGAAGGCCACCTCCTGAAAGGAGGTTGTGGTGAGATGGGGTCGACCTCTACTCCCAGGTAACAGTGATAGGATGGCAGGTGATGGCCTTGCGTTGCACCAGGAATGGGTCAGGTTGGGTAAGAGGAAAAATTTATTCTCAGAAAGAGTGGCAATGCAGTGGCACAGGCTGCCCAGGGAGGTGGTGGAGTCACCATCCATGGAGGTGTTCAAGAACTGTGGAGATGTGGCTCTGAGGGACGTGGTATGTGGGCATGGTGGGATAAGTTGGAGTTGGATTTGGTGATCTTAGAGGTCATTTCCAACCTTAATGATCCTATAATGCCAACCTTGGTGTCCCCATGTTTGGAGGAGTGCAAACCTGCCCAGGAAGGAACCATCGCATGAACACTGGCTTATTGCTGAGGTGGGATTTGCTGCCAGGCAGACCTCTCTCCCCCACGCCATCCTGTGATCCATTGAGGACAGGATTCTGTGATTCCCAATGGGCCTGGAAACGACTTGGACAGGACCCAAATAACAGTCTGTAGCAGAGCTTGTTCCCTGGGAGTCCCTTTGCAATACAGGGGCACTGCTCACCATCCACTCCTAACAACCATGAAGTATCTCTTACCCTACATCTTGTGTCCAAAGGGTTTGGACCTGCACAACTTTGGGGCTATTTACCCTACTTGCCATCAAAGCCATTGTCCTGCAATAGCATCCAGGACTTGAGTGCACTGGGATCATGTTATAAAGGGCACTGGACAGGTGGTAATACACTGATTTCTCTCCAGTGCAGAGCTGAAATGCTCAAAAGCTGCTCCTGGGGGCTGGGCTGACACAGAAGAGAGGTACCTGCACCATTTCCCACACTGCTTTGCTAAGGTGTAGAAACATTTGGCATTTCCCCAAGCTTTTCCTCACTGCTCCTTGCATCTGCTTCTCCGAGCCCTCCTTGGGTTAACTCAGCTTGCATGTCTTTCATCACCAACCCTCATTTCTGCTGGGAAAGAGCAACATGATCCCATAGTATAAATGATAGCCATGAAATATGGAAGAAGAAATGAGAGGACAGGCACTGACCCTCTTTATATCATGCCACATAAACTGGTCCACACTGCACGCAGCACCAATGGAAGAGAATGGAAAATGGAGCTGCTGCAACTGCAAGAGGCAGAGTTTGCTGCAGTGGGATGGAGGTTTTGGGGCACAGTGTAAAATCTCCCCCGGCCACACCACAGTCTGTAGCTGTGCTCCCTGTGTCTGGGTATTGTGCTGGGCTGCATGATGCAAGGGCTGAAGTCCCCTCTTCCTGTGCTGCTCCTATAAACATCAGTGCCATAAATGCCACAGTTTCTATGGTTCACCTTGCAGGGATCTTGCTCCCTGCATGGGTCTGCTGCTCCGTATGCAATGCTATGGAGCACAGAGCAGCAGACAGGACACACATCCCAAGTCACAGGTGGCAGGACATGAATCTATATATTTTTCAGCCAAATGCAGCCCTGGACTCTTCGTCCTGGCTGGTACCTGAGGGAGGAGACATCCCTGCTCCGGCACTCCCTGTTTGTGCCATTCTCCATGGTTTTATCTTCAGATGCACAACTCACCTGAGTTCAAGGCTCATATCACTGAGCGGGGTTTCTACAACACCAGGTCCCTGCAGATACTGCCTTTATGGGCTCATAAACCTCAGGGCTGGGCTTGCTGGTGGCAGATCTCATTTCGGTACCGGTTTGGATGAGGTCCATCACGTGGAGCACAGTTATCACCCAGCTGTGCTTCAGTGACAGCTGCTGGCAGGGCTGGGACAGGTGGGAGTGTGGGGCAAGGGTGTTCTAGTTGAGATAAGGGACTGGACTCTGAGCTGGAGATACCAAAGAGAGAGCAAACTGCAGCGCAGAGGGCTTTGAGTCTGCCCCCAGAAGGAAGGGCAGGATGCAAAACCACGCTGTTGTTTTTGGGAAGGAAATAGGAGTATTTGACAGGATGAGAGGGAATGGCCTCAAGTTGCAGCAGGGGAGGTTCAGGTTGGATATTACAACAAATTTTTAATTGGAAGGGGTGGTAATGGATTGGAACAGACAGGGAGTGGCGGAGTCACGGTTCCAGGAGGTTTTCAAGAACGGGGGGATGAGGGATGTGACACTGAGGGATGAGGTTAGTGGGCATGGTGGGGTGGGTTGGGGTTGGACTTGGGGATCTTAGAGGTTTTTTCCAGCCTTAATGAGTCTATGATTCCTTGATCGACTCCATCCGAGTTTTAGCCCCAAGACAGCCTACACTAAAACCATCTGCTTCTGCATTCACTGCGTAGCTTGTGGTTCCTTCACTCCTTTGATGTTCTAACTCCGAAGGAAAATGATGGTACTGTGGGATCTAGTGCTATCTAGGAATTATCAGTACTGATTTTACAGTGGAAGAGTTCAATGCCCTCTGCCTGCTCTGAATCCTGTCAACAGGTTTCAGAGCGAATCAGGCTGTTTATCTCTGTGACCCGTCTTCTAATTGAGAGTTAATCTCCGCAACAGCATGGACTGCCTAAAAGACACCGGATTGTCATTTCATTTCTGCCCTCTCCTTCCCCACTCTTTAAGGTACTTTGCTGAGTCTGCTGTTGAGGGACCTTTGGATCCATCTCTTCATCCAACAAGAAAAACCCCAGTGTAAGAGATGATGGATGACAGGTCTACATTGGCGGTGTTTCCGGCATTCTTTTGGGATTGGGGGGATATTTTTTTGGCCTCTTGTGCAGCAAAGAGGCACATGGTTTAGGGACACGGACAGTGGGCATGGTGGTGATGTGTTGGGGCTGGGCTTGATCTTAGCAGTCTTTTCCAACCTCAATGATTCTACGATACCATGAAAGAGCTTTGCAGGAGAAGGAGGAGCTGTGTAAGGTGAGCTGTGCAGCCTGAGAAACTTCACAGCTGCCTCCCCTGCGGCGACGGCGAGTTGGAAGTTACAAAATTCAACCGCACAAAATGCTTTTGTTATGCTGATCTGCCCCTCACCCCCCTCCGAAGGAAGTTATGTCTCTAATAGGATTAAGTTATTAAAGTCCCCAAAGCACTGAAAATAAATAAATAAATATTTTTAAAAGCACGGTTTGTGTCTGGAGCTGTTCAGAAATGGTGTGCAGCAGATTTCTGCCTGAGGCTCACAGATGCAGGAAATGCTCTCCCAGAGGATGCTGAGGATCAGCGCTGATGCATCTTGCCCAAATATTTGGGATATTTCCTCGAACCCCATCCTGCAGACACCCCCGTTCTGCTGGAGCAGCATTTTAGCACCAGGTTCTCACATTCTGCGTGGGATGAACCTAACCTGGACTCACCTAACTTCTCTCAGGGCTGCGTGGTGAGTGGCTGCCCGCGTCCCGTGATGGGATTTCAATTCTCCCAGCCTTCAGGACTGAATTTATTAAGCCTCACGTGGCCCCTCCTACCGTGGGAGGGACGGCTCTGCAGCCTCTCTAATGCTGGGTGTCACAGAGCCGTGCCACCATTCGGGACCAGGAGTGTCACGAGCAAAGGACACCGTCAGCCAAGTGTGGCAGAGAGCAGGAATACCCCTCCACGTGCACCCTGCTGAGGTGAGCTCCTTCCAGCATCCTCATTCTAATGATGATCTTTGGTGAAATGCATCCCTCCAACTCATCCCCGCCTGCCTGAAAGTTAGCACCACAGAGGGGGCATTTTGATGACTTTTCTTTAATTCTTCAGAGTTTTGGGAGCGTTGCTTGGCATCCAGCAGTGATGCGACCGAACCGTTTTCTGCATGGGTAGAAAAAACAAAGCCTGAAAAGCTGGAGAATGGGGAGAATCGATAACAAAGGGGGAGCAAAGGGGATTATTGTGATTTGGGGGGTTTCTGGTGGCTTTCTGGGGAGGAAAAGGCATTAAGCAGCCCGGCTTCTCTCTCAGATGAGTTTGCTGTGTGCTGTGGAGAGGAGGAAAGGAGCTGGGATGAGGTATGAGCAGTGGGTGGCCGTGGGGCTGGAGGGAGGGAAGCGGCGGGCGAGCATTCCTAATGCCTCTCGGATAAAGGGCTGTTTCCATAGGGATCGGGAGAAAGGAGCCTCTCTCTTTCTTCCCATGGCGTGTGAACGGGGAGGTCGTCCCGGGAACAAATAACCCGTGGAAGGGGAACATCTGGGAACAGCTGCAAATAATCACGACCCATTCAGGGAGGCTGAGAGCAGGCAGTGGCACTCGGGTCCGACGCATCCCTCATGTCCTCTGCTCCCAGGCAGGGAGCCTTGACGTTGGGTGCAGGTGTACATCTGGATTTGGTGAGCTGTTGTAAACCTGGGGACCAGTACTGAGCCAAGTTTAGGTTGGATAATACGGGTTTGAGTTGGATAATACGGGTTTGGATTGGATAATGCAGGTTCTGGTTGGCTGGAGGTCCAGCCTATAGTGTACATCTCTTGATTCCTTCTCCTTACTTTGGGATTCCTGCTCTCCCAATGGGGTCTCTCTGCATTCATCCTCCGGCACAAAACTCCAGGTGGAAGGGCAAGAGAGATTGGAGGTAATTTCCTACAGCTGCTCCAAGTGTTTAGCTACATTTCACTAAAGAAAATGCAGAAAGTGCTGTGGGACCAGCTGGATTTTAATTAAAAAAACCCCTCTGGATGTAAAAGGAGACAAAGCCTCTTCCTTTCCAACTTTGCTATTTAAATGTTTAAAAGATGTGTGAGATTTCTAGGCAACTTTGAAAAACTTTGATGAGAAACAACAAGCTGGGTTCCACAAGCAGCCCTGTGACTTTGTTATGGCATGGCATCAGACTGGGGAGGTGACTGGATGGGGTCTTGCGGGCTTTATGTGCCATTGGCGTGATGAAAATGCAGCTCTTTAGACTCAGTGGCAGCTTGTTGCAGGACTACCTGTGTGCAAGTGGGTGCTGAGTGTGATATAAACAGAACTGTAACAGAAAACATGGTTTCTCTAAGTTTGTAGCCCTTGGGCAGTAAGTTTTGCTAACACTTGTTGCTGTTTGGCAATGGGTTCAGGAGGCAGCGCATCAACAGAGAGATGAAGCAAATCCCACCCCATGGCCAAGTGACCACATGGCAGCTTTGCATGGGAAACATGAGGGGTTTGGACTGATCTATAAATAGGAGAAGAAGTTGGCAAGATCCTATGGGCTCCAGGTCTCAATAGGAAGAAGGAAAGGGAGGTGACACAGACAGAATAGTGTGGAGATGGTACTTTTGATGTACCCTGGACCCTGGACCACTTTGGGGATGCCCCATCCTTGAAGGTGTTTAGGGCCAGGGTGGATGGTGCCCTGGGCAGCCTGATTTAATACTTGGCAATCCTGTCCATCGCAGGGGGTTGGAAATAGATGATCTTTGAGGTTCCTTCCAACTCAAACTATTCTATAGTTCTGTGATTCTATGCTTTTGCACCAGCCTGAGCTTGGGCTTGGCTCCACATTGCAGCCTCTGTTCCAGCTTTGGACACCTCACACAAGGGAGCAGAGGAGGCTGCCTGCAGGTGCTCATCCCTTCAGCATCTCATCCTCACCTCATCCTTTGTGTGCTGGCTTTTTGGTGGCTGAGGGTTTGTTGTTTGGCAACATCCCTTGTGTAGAGAGGGTGGTCTTGGTCCTTGTTCCCTGCAACTCCTCACCAGCAGAACATTGGCACATGTGGCATTTCTGTGGCATTTCATCTTGTCTTTGTACCCTCCAGGAAAAAAGAGGGAAGGAGAGTCCTTAGAGGTCTGAACAGTCATCATTCCTGGAGGTTTTCAAAACAAGCCTGGATGTCACATTGAGTGACATGATCTAGAGCAGTCACTGACAGCAGTTGATGATTGGACTAGATGATCTTATTGGTCATTCCAACCTTCATGTTTCTATGATTCTATGACCTTATCCTACCTAGATCCTGGCCTCATACCAGTCCTTTTCTCCTGCCCCTAATTGCCCTATAGGCCTTTGTGATGTCCACAGGTGCTGTGCTAAGCATGATGAGGACCTGCTGTAAAGGTCTGGATGGATTTTCCATTCTCCCAGCTCACATCCTCTCTGGTGCTTGGGTGGTTGTGATCTAGGTAGTACATGTGATGCTGTAGGAAAAGAGATGAGGAGCCTTCTCCTTCGACTTCTCATCAGTGGAGTCTCATTGCTTGCATAGAAACGTTTTGAGTCAGGATTGGAGCATGATTCTGGCTGGTCCCTTCCTGCTCCTAATCCTGGACTTGTTTTGGAAAGCCTCCAGAGTTTGAGAAATAAAAGGCACTTTAGAAAAGGAGAGGGGGGAGTGGGATGGAGTCGGCAGAATTGGCAAGAGCAATTGCTTTTTAAATGACTGCCTATTTCTTAAGATGTACTTGCTACTGATTAACCTTTGCTCTATGATTGCTTTAATTGATTCATGCCTTAAGGCAGTCAGAAAGGTTCTGTGGGGTCACCAAGCTCTCTCCTGAAAAGTTTTTAACACTTTCTAGTTGGGCGAAACCCAGTTTGTGCAAGTAATGTTGGTGAATGGCACCAAACCAGTTTGCTTTTCCTTCCCCCAAATGATCCAACCCCCACTTCAGTGTTTCACCCCTGTGACTTCTTCCCTCTGCTGCTATCAGACTGCACCTATCCCACCCTCCTCTTGGGTTATTGCGAATGTTGTTTGGAGGGATATATTTTTTTGGCCATTCTGTGAATACGAGGCACTACAACAGGGCAAAGTCCATCATGTGCCTGGTAGTGCCTGGCTCTCCCAGATCCTGGGAAACACTTTCCTTATCTCATTAGCTGATGCCTGACTGCCTGCTCTGAGCTTTCCTATGGGGTGGTCTTCTATGTAGCAGTGCCCTTTGGTAACGGAGTACCGTAGCCATATAAAGACAACTCATGAAGCCCGGGGTGCAGATGTTATTTAAGATGTGTTGGGATTGGCTTGTTGAGTTTGAGTGATGAAAGCGCAGTCGTCTTGGGCTGGATTCATGCTATAGCACTCAATGAACAGGGACACCCACAGCTCCATTGGGTGCTCAGAGCTCATCCAGCCTGACCTTGAGTGCAGGGATGGGGCACCCATCACCTCTCCGGGCAATCTGACGGGGAACCAGAATGTGGATCTTCAGTGTCAGACAATCCTTTCACTCCAAAGTTCATTCAAAACTTTACCGAGATACAAAGGTGCAGTAGTGTTTAATGAGCTAGAAAGAGTTTTGCTCTGGAAACAGCAGAACTGCATCTTAACAGCATAAGAATGGGCCAGCCTTGATGCATAGAGATGCTGTAAAAGAGAAAGCTCATGGAAAGCATCTCTTCCTTGCAGGGGTATTTTGCTCCAAGCCTATTAACTCCAGCAGCCTGGGGAGAGCTGGTACTGGGGGTTTTGGAAAAATGACCGTCCAGGGGCCCCATCCTTTGTCCAGGCTGAATAGCACTCTGCAGAGCTGCCGACAGAGGTATGTGATCTGCAGACCTCTTTTCTTCCTCCCTTTTGGCCAGCAGACAAACTCTTCCCTTGGAGATGGTGCTGGCGGCAACGTGCTGCCCTCAGTGGGGCCGGAGCTGGGGGGAAGCAGAGGGTCCCTCATGCTGTGCCCCAATCTTATCGTCATCCCTCAGCAGCACAGCACAAAGAGCAGCTCAGGAATTCACAGGAGCAGGGAGGGAGCTGAGCCAGGACATGCTGAACTGCACAAAGTGGGATTTATCTTCAAAGAAATGTTTCCCTCCTTTCTGAGCTCCTTTTTTGAAAAAAGAATTTTCCTGCAAGTGATTCGTTCCTCCTCCTTCCTCCAAGCACTTGGCTCGGTTTGAGCTATTGGGAGCACTTTTTTTGCCATCCCACAGTTGCTGTTCAGTGGTGGGAGAGAGACTTCTTAGAAAGCTGAAGGCCTCCTGGGGCAAAGCCTGGGGCTGAGCTCTGTATGCTCCATGGGACGGAGCTGAATCCTGCATGGGCAGGACATGGAGCAAAGCCACCACTGCCAGCTACACACAGCCATGAGAAACCGTGGATTCCCCATCTTTGGCAGGATGCTCAAGGATGGGTTGGATGGGTTTTTGGGCAACGTGGTCTGAAAGGAGGTGTCCCTGCCTATGGGGGGGTTGGGGGGCTGGATGGGCTTTGAGTTCCCTTCTAACTCAAACCATTCTGTTGTTCTATGTTAAGCCAAACTTGTAAATCAGTTATACGAAGGAGCTCAGGGTCAAAACCAGAGGGAAGGAACTGCTGGTGGCCCACCAACAGGGCCAAAGCAACTCTTGTGTTCCACTGATCTCTGTGCAGTGGATCCATGCTTTGGCTGTTTTGGGATGTTTTGGGGCTGGCCACCAATCTGTTAATTGTGCAAGGTCTTTGTAAGCCCTCGGTCTAAACAGCTTCTGACTTGTAATGCATTTTATGCCTAATTTAACGATACTGTGCTATTGATGTTTGCCTGGTTGTTGATCTGGACCATCTGGGCTGCTCTCCATGCCTCATATTCCCCGTGTATAAAGCAAAGCTGTAACTTTGAGCATCTCCAGATTTCCAGAGAGGTTTACAGGAAAGACCAAGTGGTGATGGTATCCCACCACACCAAGGAAATGCATATGCTACAGAATACTCTTCACTGCTCTACGTGATAAATGCTCTATGCACCTAGTGGGGTTGACTCGGATGTAGGGAGGTTCGACTCTCACCCCAAGCTCTGGTCTAGCAGATAACAACCTCCTTAGGATCCTGACCCCAAATCTGATGGTTTATCACATTTATAGGGCACTTCAGGATAATCCCATTAATGAATCAGCATTAATAGAAGCTTTAACGTCACACATTTCCTTCCTCACTTGAAGCAATCAAATTCTTTCTGTCCTTACTCATCTACTTGCACTCCAGCATTGCATGTGACTCTTCAGCTGCTTGGATTGGATATTCTCAACCCTTCTTTCTGTGGCTGTGTATTCAGAAAGCCTGGAAGGAATTTTTGGGAACATGATCCCAGTGGTTGTTGCAAGTGGAGACTTTACCACACAGCCCTGGTTTACAGAATGGATCTGCCCTGTGGTACTACACCTAATCTTGTGCTTTCATAGATCCACTTTGCTCTCTCTACAGTATAACTTATCTACCCTTCTCTAGGATCTGTATAGTATGACATCTGCTTGGGTGCAAGAAAACATTAATAAAGTAATTACTGCTTCTACTAAAGTAATTACTCTTTCCATTTGGAAAAAATCAGTTGCTTCACGTTTTTCCTGTGTTGTGTTTTTATGTTGGGCTTTTCTGCAGTAGTACTGCATGTGTTACATGAGTGGGACCTGCCTCTGGATCAGAACTTTGTT